ATCTGCTATTGCTCTCTGACTATGTCTCTGATGACGAATCCGCGACGGATATTGAAACGTCAGGCGAATAAGAGTATTGTCCCAGCGATCGAATCGTCATCTGCGTAGGGAGCTGGCGCAGCGAAAACCCACCGCTTGGCCTGCCACCACAAGTGGCTCGGACTGTATGAAGCTTGAAATTTAAATTATGTATTGATTGTCTGGCACGATGTGCTCGCTCGCGTGTAGGCCGATCGATAGCCTATTGTGGGCGCGGTTGCTGCCTGTAAGCTTGATGCCATCTAACATCAAGCACGTCATATTGCTTAATAGCTCGTACAAATTAGTGAAAATTAATATTTAAAAAACGTAGTTAACTAGCTGAAGGATAACTCACGCATGACCGTCTTGCGACACTAAATGATTATTCAAACAATACTTGGCGAATAACTGGTTTTGCTTTAAATTCGCAGGAAAATACACATTGTTTGTGTTAATTTGATTTTAATTACCTCTCATTATATCGGCATATGACGCTGTTCCTTAAGGTGGCGTTACACAAACCGCGGGCCAGACATCAAACGGTAAAAGCGCCGAAAGAATTGAATAATTCGCCTTCTTCTTCTTTTTTTGTTTTCTAGCCCCCGGAATGCCACCCCAGGATGTGCGACTACAAGTAACCGGCAAGACCTCTCTGCAGATTGCCTGGAGCCCACCTTTGAAGACAAATGGCAAAATTCTGGTGCGTCAGACCGTTTGCTTCTGTCAGTTTTCGCACGCGAATTATAATTCCGCAGTTTTGGCTGCTTTGCATTTTTGATCGGGTCTTAATTTATTTTCCACTAAGTGAAATGCCGCCCTTTCACGCGCCAACAATTCAAAGGCGCAGCCCAACTGACAGCGCAGTGTTTGCTCTAGCCGCAATTTTTGAGGAGAGAAAGTTTGTGGTTAAGACATGTTTTATGCCGGAAGATTTGGGGTCCAGCTATGTTATCGCGTTCATCTTCTCCTAAAGATAAGGAAGAAGAAGAGGGGGCGGGTTCATGGACCAACTCATATGTGGTCCACCACCAGATGCACTCCGACGATGGAAGCAAGAAAGGTTCCGAAACGTCAGTTCAAATATAATTTGGTCCACGAACCCGCCCCTCTTCTTCTTCCTTATCTTTAGGAGATGGTAAACGCGATAACATGTTTTAGATGTATATTCCTCTGCCATCATAATCCTGCCATTGTTGCGTTGCTTGCACGGCTTGGTATTTAAACACGGGCATCCCAAGATATCAAATGATGAAGATAAAGATTTTTAGGAAAATTGGAACTTTATTTAGTAAATTTTTAATGCAGGATCAACCGTTTGTCTTCAGGCGGGAAAATGTGCAACAAACAACTTTAATGATTAAACGTTCAAAAAAACCAATATTCATCTGACGTTTGTACCAATTGGCAGGATTTTTCGTCTGTGCTTGTAAGTCTTACATGCCTCTCGTTATTCTGCTCTGTTTCGTGGCGAGTTAAATTTGGTTTTAAGGTAACTATAGCTGGCGTCCAGGTCGATATACCTGTTTATGCATGCCTCTTCTAAGTGCGCTGCTTCAAGGAATTCACGGTCTTTTCTAGTTGGATATGTGCCAAAAATCCGTGTGTTCCCCTATGCGAATTTGTGGCCGGTTTCTAGTGTCTGCATAGCCACCTGGGATAAATGGTCTCGTCTTCTGACCACGGACTGATGTTGGTATATGCGGGTTGAGACGCATTTTCCAGTTTGGCCCCAATAAACTGCATCACAACTGGAACACGGGATCTTATAGACAACAACTTTTTCTTCAAGACAGCTCACAAAGTCCTTAGGGTGTACAAGCTGTGATCGTAAGGTGGTTGCGGGTTGGTGTGCCACTTGTATCTGTTGTTTTTTTTATTAATTGTCTTTCGACAACCTCAGGTATATTCTTTACGTATGGGAAAGTACGCCAGGTTACTGTTTTCGGTACCTCGTTGGCCGTGCCATTTGAAATTCCTTTTTCTTCTTCTTTGTATTCTTGTCGTTTTATACACCGGAGCACGAAATTTCATTGATATCCATTTCTGGAGAATAATTGAAAAATGTTATTTGATTTCTTCTTGGTAACCTTCTTCAACAGAGCAGTGTATTTTAGCTCGATGGAGGAGGCTGTTGACAGAGCCTCTTTTGTGAGAAACTGGGTGGTTGCTCCCAAAATGTAGGATGACTTCCGAATATGTTTCTTCATGGTAAAAAGATGCACACGTAGCCCAACTGACAGCGCAGTGTTTGCTCTAACCGCAGTTTTTGTAGAGGGAGTTGTGGTTAAAACATGTTTTATATATTTATATTCCTCTGCCATCATAATCTCGCCATTTTTGTGTTGCTTGGACAGCTTGCTATTGCCGCCTTACGTAAAAATTGAAGGTATTCAAACGCATGCTGATTGCTTTCCGTATTACTCCAACAAAAACATCAAACCTCAATTTTATGCCGAAAATTGATTGTGTGTACCCATTATGCATTTTTTGCATTGTTTTATCGTTTTGAAAGGCTGCTAAATGATTTGTGTATCTTTATTCCATGGAAATATCCTTGATTCTTATTTGCATTTCAGTGCTCCTTTAATATCAGCGTGCTTGTTAACGCACCTGTCTGGGCGTTACCATTAAAAGTGAATCTTCCAGTTCCGCCCCCTAATCAGAGATTTAAGATAGGATAATGTGGCCTGACATCTCAATACTCGTCCCGTATGTTTCGATTATATTTTGCCCGTATCGCAGTTGGAAATGTGAAGATCTATTTATCAAAGTGAGTTTAAAATGCAGGGTTGGCCTAGGTGTTTTAATCTACGACATTGGTCTAGCTCATGCCAGAATGGCAAGACGACTAGAATAGGTGCCTGTGTGGCCTACTCGTCATTGTCATTGGTATACTAATTCCCAATTAGCCAAGACCAAGGGAGAACAGGGATATAAGTCCGTTAGTTCAAAGTTATATATTCTTTTTGACACCCATTTGAACTCCCTTAGCGGTAGTGAACCTCAACTACCATAGTGATTTATTATTGTAGCGCTTCGCAAGATGACGGCAATCAATCCATTTTTCCGAAGAAGAATAAGAAGAAAAAGTAGAAGAAGATGCGATCACTGGAACAAGAGTTTTAGTTTCCTGACGTTTCGGATTCTGTCGAGAATCCTTAGTCATAGGTAATCGTAGGAAAGTCGGAGAAATGCGCAGATAAGGGTTGTGCATGCACAGGTCGCACGGTATTTATAATGCATAGTGGTCATCCGCATTCGTACTATAATTGTTAGTTCCCGTAGCCACCGTTTGAGGTCTTAATTGGTGCGGTGGTGGCACCGTGATCGCATCTTCTTCTTCTGAACTACATACTGGAACTCGCATATTCTCCTCTATGGAGAACCTGCTTTTCTTTTTCAAAGAGCAATTTTGGTTAGAAAAGATGAATATATGGATGCAAGAGCAGTTTATCTTTTCAAAAAGTTGCATGTTTTTTTTTTCCTTGCATTCTTGTTTCGACCTTGTAGATCACCCTGAAGGCTTCCTCGGGGTCCAATCGATGTCCGGAATCCACCATGTGCGCTAGAATAGAGCTGTTTATGGTCCTTGGTGTATTGAATTCACCCTTCCTTAGCCATTGCGGGAGGTGTTCCTTTATTCTTTTGGATAGGCACCGACTCGTGCAACCAATATAGCCTGCTCCACAGGAGCAAGCAAAGGAGTAGATGCACATTGAGGACGACAAAAACGCTTTTTATGTTAATATCAGCCCCTTGTGCTTCAGCATTACAGTGATATGCGGTGCCACGCAGCCACATTTGCCTGAAACTGGCATTTTTCAAGTAAAAATTTCACCCCTGAGCTTAAATTTTGCTAGTTTGCGCTTAAAATCCGATAACCGACCACTCTTCTCTAAGATATTTTACTACGCGAAGAATGTAAAGCTTTCGAATAGTTATGCGGTTTTCACCATCTGATTTCTGTAGCAGTGACACGCCTAGAATAATCCACTGACACAACAACAAAAATCTGCCATCCGGCAAAGCACACTAATATGCAGAGTGTTGAAGAAAATGTGTGAGCAGACCTCAACCAGTACATGCAAACGTCACCTGCAGAGACAGTTCAGATGTACGTTGTTGGCAGCCCGTGTACCTTGTAAGCATGGATAATTAATGGGTTCTTTGTTTCAGAGTAGTCCAGCTGACATTCCAACTGATCCCTGTACCTGTCTGAACGGTCCGAGATACCAAGCAAGCAAGCTGACTTCTTCGTCGTAATCTGTCAGTCAATGACTTGCGTTCTTTTTTTCCCTAACGGTTGATGTTGTGTTAAAAGCAAATATGGTAAAACTAATCCTACTCCATCTTTATTGGCAAGTCGTTTCAACGAAGGGACATAGGATTAAGTAATTTACGTAGGTGTTAGCTCAAACAGTCACTCATGCCAACTCTTCTGATTCGGCAATGATATGCAGACCTTATTCTAATAATGTTATTGTAGAGGGAGATTCTATGTTTGAAAAGCGGAAGCATATATTTCAGCAAAAAATATTTATTATGGCATATATGCGTGCACCGATCTGTTAGGGGACACACTCATCCGTCCATTTTGCCATTAGAACTCTCACTCGAGCCTCCACCGCGAAGCGGCTAGGGTATAGGAATTGGGTATCACTAGCCGATGACGGCAAATAAGCCAGAAAAGGCCATCCCAGTGTCCCATGTCTTTGTTGATATTGTGTTTCTGCCTATATATATATATGAGAATGTAAGGCAATCGGGGGAACCAAAGGTTTATCGTCCTGACGTTTCCCGTGTTCGCCTTACCTTCTCAATTATGTCCAGGAACACG